AAACACAAAACACTACAGTGAGAATTTCCGACTACAAAGAACTGAGGAACAGGTTTCACCCAGCACGAAGTTTAGCTTAATAATGCTCTCATGTCATGGACTTCTCTAGGCAACAGTGGAGTACCTTAGGTGTTGTATCCACAGTGACATTCAGACAGGGATATTTGGAGAAGCTATACTCCAGAAAGATTACAAATCAGGCTCATTAAATTTGCATCTTCAAAGGTAATGAAAGTACAAGGACAGATGAGAAGTAAAAAGAAAATCACAAAAGAAACTGAAATATCTGTTCAAACAGTTACACAGATAAAGAATTATTGACTTAAAGTTCAAACTGGCAAGTTCACACCAGTGAACTTGTTACTAAGGTTCAAAAATAAAGAGTTCTCAGTGAAGAGAATAGATGGCTCTCAGAGGTGATAAATTAATTTACAAAGTAACATCAAAAAAGAAAAACATCTGACATTGGCTTCATGTTGAAATCTAAAGATCAACCATGTCAGGCATGCCTGGGGCAATGGGAAATACATGCAAAAACAAGACAAGAAATAACTCCACTGTCAAAGAACACTAGGTGGCTGAAAGAAAGATGATGATTAAAGTAATCATCAATACACAAAACCCAACTGGCAAAGAAACAAGACAGGTTCAAATGTACCTGGTACTCCTACAGCAACATTTGATTAAAAATTCTGAATTATGGAAGAACAGCATCAAATTACAGTAATTTGCAAAGATGTTTTAATAGCCCATTAAAAACATGCTAATTCACCAGGATTTTCTTTTTTCCCCACAATTTCATACATAACTAAACTATCTCGACAACTTGAAGCTGTATTTTTCCCAAGTGAGCATCTCCCATAAATTTCTATTCTGTACCACTCACACAGGAATCCACTTTCAGATCATTTTGTCACAGAAACCAGTTTTTGTTCACTCTGATGTATTTCTCAATGCAACCCGCATGTCACATATTTTCCAAATGGTGCTTTAACTCAATATACATTCCAAGAAAATGCCTCATTAGGCAGAAGTTTATCAACTTCATATTAACTAGACTTTAAATTGTAATAAATCCTTTTTCATTAACATAATAGATACTAAGTTTGCCCACATACCTAATCCAAAATAAACTGATCTAGTTCCAGTTAGAACAAAATGCACATACATGAAAATTTTTTGTGCTATAATTAAATTTATAACTAGATTGCAATTTTTGCTGGTTTATAATTTTTTTCTTAAATAGTCCATACATGTATATCCTATATGTATTCCATTTATTACATATATTTGCTCCAAAATCTCCCATCTGAAGAATCCAGAGTAAAAAAAAAAAAAAAAAAAGTGACACGATATATAATTTTCTTCTGCAAAACCGACTTCCATGCAGGTCCTTTTAAGCTGACAATAATGTAGCATTAACCTCTTGCTTACAGGGGATCTTGCCTTACCAAGACAAGGAGATCCTTGAGAATATAAAAATTATGATTATAAAAACCAATCTGTGGTAGCCAGGACAGAAAAAAAACCAGTATGTCAACAGACACAAATTCACTTCAGCCACACTAGAATTACAGGACTTCACCAATTCACTTCAACTAACCCCTCTGCCTATGTCAACTTCATACTACAGAATTTAAATGTTTCAGAATATAGCTGAACTCAATTTATAGCAAGTTAGGATATTCACTTGTCACTTGGTAAATATTACATTTCTAAAAATATTTAGTGAAGCATGGAGAGCCAGGTCCAGAACAACCTCTACAGAGCTTTTGCTGCGTAATGTAAGTCTCAGAGATGATCTATTTGTAAAAGAACTAATTCCAGAACTAATGAACTGTCATTAAACACCAACCTTAACCACAAACTGTAGCCTCTTTTGTAATACTATTGTTTTATATGCTCTATAAAAGCTCACTAACACTTTACTGAATTGAAATATCAATCTTTTTAAGCTTGAAAAAGAGAAATCTATTTCAGTCATCTTTGAGAAATTATTCTAACTTAATTTGCACCAAATGTTACTTTGCAAAATAAGGAAGAAAATCAGCTTCAGTGTTGGGGAGAAACAAAGTGAGGGAGGAGATGGTTGTGTATGTGTTAAAACTGGATTTTGTACAAGACATTATATGAAACAATGTTTCCTTTTTTCCATATTCAAAATTCAAAATCACGTTATAAAAAATTAAGTATGTTGAAATGTTTTAAATCACTGGAGCTGAAGAAACATAACCACAAATATGTCTACAACTAAATTAATCTCACAAAGCAAAAGGGAATATAAGCAAGATAGAAATCTAACTATCACGTGGACAGGAGTTTAGAGAGCAGTTTCTGGTCTACTGAAATGGCATTTCTTCCTAAGCACACAGACTATTGTGAGTGGATTTTCTGTTCTCTCAGGAAAAATTACAAACAGGATGGACAGAAAAAAAAGAATGGAAATAAAGTAAAAAAAATCTGTCATCTAGCACCTGAATCTATATTTAGACTGCTTTTTAAAGTAAAGGAAAATAGAAGGAAATTAAGAGAGAGCTCTCAGACTAAATGACTGGCATATATCATGGAATTCAATGAGCAGTAACAAAAGAGCTGCTATTTTAGAAGCTGTTGATAGGAAATGCTAGGGATATTATACCTGAACTCATCTGCCCTTCTAGACAAGACGAAGTCTTAAAGTGCAGGCTTGTACAAGTGCAGACCAAGCCTAAGAACTCTCAATTATTTAGGGATTTTACCTTACTTCAAAAAATAAAAAAGCCCACAAAAAAAACCCACCAAAAAACTAGAGAAAAACAGACACTTGAACAACCATGATGAACAGGTGAGATTTTATGGCATTGTTTTTTCCTACAAGCAAAAATAAGTGAGATCTAACCATATTGCTAAAAGGGCCACACACAAAACTAGGAATTTTAAGAATCTAAGATGGCATTAAAAAATGCTTCTTGAAAATAGGAATGAAATTTGCCTTTTGCCACCCCCCACCCCCAAATATCCCAGGTAGGGTCCTGCTGGGACATTGCCCATATGGTCAAGTTTGGCCTTGAAGCAACACCAGCCAGCTCACTCACTGGTGGGTGTACTCTATAATGTCCCATGGGACTTGTCTCTCTATCTCAAATGCTCCCACATATAACCATAACCCTCCCTTTTTCCATTAGTTTCCAAATCACATCTTCAATCTTTTGTTATTAACCATTTACTGATCAGAACATACTCAAGCTGGAAGAGTAACATTTTTCTGACTGAAACAGCTTATGTTCTAAGAATAATGCATCAACACTTTTTTTTTAGGAAACAAAGCATTAACATTAGTTCAAGATTTTCTATTTAGATTCTAGTGAATCTAAGGTATGTAATAGCTGAACTCAAGTATTAAGTCCTTATATTATGATCCAGCACTGTTTACTAATTAAATCTACTAAATGGCCACAAAACACTCAGTATTTATTTACTGAGAATCCTGATCAGCCTTGATCTGTGTGCTGACACTGAAGCGACTGCATCGTGGCTTTCTTTCCTTTTATGCCCATTCCCAGGTATTGTCTTATATAAAGACACAGCAGGAACAACTGAAAAAAATTAACAGGGACTAAATTAATGGGGTTTTGTTTTCGTATTTTGTTTTCTTTCACACTCCCTTTAATTTATGTGAATACAAATGGATGCAGTTCTACAAGAAAAAAGAAATAGGGTTGCAAGTCAAATAGAGAAGCCCCCAATAGTGTATTAACTCAGATTTTATTACTGATTATCATGAAGGTTTAGAATGGCTATTAGAAAAAGACAGGATTCCATGAAAAGCCATCAAATAGCAGTAATGAAAACTTTTTCATTTTACACTATTTTTCAGTTTTACTTTGCCATTAGCAAGCATATATATTTTAAATATAAAGAAGATGATCTACAGTCCACAGTAAACTGGAAAAGGCATCAGGAATGTGAAAGTAATGACAATTGGCCCAAACTAAAACCATGTTTACTAGAAAATCAACCACGGTAAACTGGGATTTGACTGCAAAAACTTTGTTTCTTTGCTTTTTAATTCTTGGACCATTTCAGTAACTTTGTAAAAGCAAAAATAAATCGACATTTACCCAAACACTATTGAAGGAAGACTAAAAAAGAGTATCAGAAATACACTAGGAGCTTTTGCAGAAAGCACAAACTGAAATGTAAGTTATCAGTTGATATAGCTTTCTGAGACTTAAAGGATTTTGATATGATAGTAGAGCATAAAAAACTCTACATGTACATAAGAACATGAATTCATCCATAAAATTGCAGTCAGCACTCCTCATGTCCTATAAATAATTCAAATGAATATATAAACCAAATTGTTTCTTCACCACTTTTTTCCCCTCTTAAATTAATTTTACTATTGTTCCTACAGGAAACTCACTGTAAATAATGAGAAAACTTATTTCTTGCCAAATGACTTAACTGAATCTTGACAGACTTAAAATACTGTAGTTATAAATACAAAATGGTATATTCTTAGATCTGTGATAAGCCACCACTTCATTTAAGTCTCATTTTAGGATGGGGTTAGGACAGAGTTACTGTCCTGCAGTCAATTTTTGTGAAAACGTGGAAGTAGAACAGAACTTTAAATATAAATACTTTTTATACCTGTAACTAAATTTTTCTTTATCAAGAAAATTTCTTTTTAAATTTTAAAGTTTAAAAGGTTTAAAATTATCTCCAGCTGAGATAATTAAGACGACATTAATGCACTCAAGTAAACTTCATCAGCACATGTCAGACTACCTTCAGGAAAACCTTAATGTTTTAGAAAAACAATCAAGTTTGAGCTGCCAAATAATCAGCTAGTGTACCACAGAGGGCATTTTTAAGAATAAACTGATATGGTTTTAAAGATGGAATTTTAAACTGAAATGGTAACTGACTTCTAGCAATAGCGTTAAACACTCAGTACAATGAAAGCAAGTTTTCCCTATAGAAAAAGCTGTTTATATAATGACTTGATACCTTACCTCTAGGTCACAGCTGTATTCCGTGCCATCCAGAAGCATCACCTTACACTGCACAGTTTTGATTTTCTTTGGAGACTTCTGAGGAATGTTATCTATTTTAATTTCAGCTGTCTGCACTTCTTTTGTCTCCCTTTTTTCTTCTTCTTTTTCTTCCTTTTTCTCTGCAACTTCCCCTACTTCTGTTTCTTTACCATCTTCTTTGGAAGGCTATAAAAAATACAGTTAAACTCAGGACGGAAGATATTTTTAACCAGTTCGTTCCTTTTATAAGCTACAAATAAATAAGAGAGTAACCATTCGTTATAGTTATACACACGCTGGAAACACAATAACCAGCATAACCATTAAAGACTTCCTTTAGGGATCAGATATTCTTGCTCTCAAACCAGAGAAGGCACCTTTTTTTCCCTTTCCTTGAAATGACGATTGATTTTTTTTTTAATATGAAGTTGTTGGCTTTCTTCCAAAGAGAAACAAGTTTATTAAGATCCAGGAATTATACTAGACCCAGTGCTTATGAGAGCCAAGTGATACAGAACCACAGAATGGTTGAGGTTGGAAGGGATCTCTTGAGATCTACTCCCAAGTGCCTCTAGGGCCACACAGAGCAATTTGTCCCGGACCATATCCAGTCGCGTTTTGGATAATTTCATAGGGAAAGACTCCACAGTATCTCTCGTCAACCTGTTTGAATGTCTGACTCACCCCTTTACCACCCTGGGAGGCCTATCATCTGAACCACCACCACCTGGCTACATTCCTTGCCAAGGAAAGGTCCTATCACTATCAGAGTAAAAAAGATTTTCTTGCTATTTGAAATGTAATTTCATGGGTTTAATTTGGGTTCCTTGCCTTTTGTCATCTAACTGTATTCCACTGAGAAGGGTCTGGCTTCTCTACACTCAGCCCCTCCTGGCACAAAACACTCTCAATGTGCCTTCACCATCCTAGAATATAAAGTCTGAATGTTAAGAACTGACGTGCAGCTTCACAAAAAGCAGGACTGGAACCTAGCAACTGGAATTTTTTCTGTCATTTTTTCCCCAATATGAGCCTAAAAAAGCATTACATTAATTACATAATCCATTAATCAGGTTTCATTAAAATTACTCCAAAGTATCTGTGAGCCTCCCCCACACATACCTGTATTTCAGCACTACTGATGGAGCGCTTTTCTTTGTCATATGCTTTAGCATTCTGACGGTTTTCAGCTGCTTCTTCCAAGCTCTTTCTTGGCTGAGCCACCCCCTCTAGTGCCTGGCTTTCACTTTCTTCAACTACTTGCTCTTCCCCTGTGGTCTTTTTCTTGGGCTCATCTTTGGGCTCTGCCAAGGTGTATGACTTCTGTTTCTTAAGCCAAGGGGGAAGGAAACGAGAAATACCCTTGCTTTCAGGTGAAGGTTTTTCCTTCTTCTGGCTACTTGGACTGCTTTGGCTAGTTGGTGCTGGGACAGAAGAATCTTGAGCTTCTCCAGAGGATGCTTCCCTGGACTTTTGATCTCCTGGAGTCTCTGATGCTTCTTCAGGCTTGTCCTTGGCTTTGTCTGCTCCCAACTGCTCAGAATCTTTCTTTACTTCGGTCTCTGAACCAACTTCAGTTGTCATTATCACAACTGACACTAGAAGAAGCAACAATAAAAATAGTTTTGTTATGTAGCATCACTACTTTTACTAACTAATCATTTGCAGTAATTTGTAGTAATTCATAAACTCCTATATATTATTAAACTTACTAGGGTTAAAGAAATACTTCTCAAATTTTGAGTTCACAAGTAAGACCAGTGAGCTAAAACTTAGTGCTCTGCAGATAAAATGATGTATGGTTTCCTTCTCCATTATAAAATTTTGTGTGCTCACTGAAAGGCATTTGTTTTTTATTATAAACTACTTCTAATTATTGGGCAAGTTATTGGCCAATATTATTTCAGAAGGAATTTTAATTCTCTTTCTACTGAGCTCTTTGGCAGATACAGAAAATGAATTTTCAGAAGAGCACCCACTTTCTCTAGTAAAACTGGTAGATACAACCCCTCTACTGTTTGGCGACACCAACTTAAAATAAATCGGAAGTGAAAGAGCAAGAGTACCAAGGAATATGACAAAAGGAAGGAGAACATGATGGTGAGTATAAAAATTGGTAAATTATAAATCAGTGATATTGTTGAAGTTACTAATAATGTTGGAGAGCATATACTTTTAATTAAGGTAAGATTGGGTTCTTAATAAGTTCATACCAATCAACATAAAATCATGTACAGCTCTTACACTCTCATCAACAAATGTTATCTGTGTGGCACTGTATTGTGCTGCATTGCTTTAAAAATGTAGTATAACTATTTTTTTCCAATATATTGAAGTGAGCCAACAAAAATAAGCATACAAGAGACCAACAAAAATTTATAATGGTTAGATTTCATTATTCATCATTGGTATTTACTTATGATCTTCTGAAAACAATTAATTTTAAATTGATGGTCTGTTTTTCTGGCCTAAAGTTTAGCAGGTTAGTTACAATCATATTTATATATTTTTAACATGGGAACCTTCTCCATTATGATTATCTTCACCACATGCTGTTAGAGGCAGGAGGCTCTTAGGTTCAGGACTCTTGCTGAACTCAACTGCTCCCACCGTTGCCCAAGAAGAGCCAAGAAGGTTATCTAGCTCAGGCTTGATGCAATTAACTTGCACAGCCCCTTTAAACTGCACTTGAAGTCAATTGAGAACTAGTTTAGATCACAAGGCAGCAGCAACACTTGGCCACCAGGTTTCCAAAGCGCATCCATCAGCAGTCAGAAAGAGTTAAACTAAACTATTCCCTAGCATGAAAAAAAGAAAAAAAAGGAAGTTAATAGAGACCTAAATATACAAGAGAAGCCATTCTGGCCAAAGAGGTGAGCAATACTGGGCCAAAGGAAATACCATCTTGACAATATCTTACTAAGAAGCCTAGAATTATCTACAGGCAAATTCACATTAAGCATCCTGAACCTTAAGTAGCTGCATGGTGTGTGCGGAATTTTTATTCATTATTTTACACTTCATTATCTAAAATCAAAGCATTCCCCAATGGGGAATTAAATTAAAATTTAGTACCTTTACTGCTACACTAGAGACTTCTGAATACATTTCAAGCTTAAATATTATAGTTATGCAGCCATTTCTACCACTTTTTAAAAAACCCTTCAAGTTCCAATACTACTAATAAAGCTTGTTGTGATAGAGTATGAAACATGTAAGTACTATTTATCTCAGAAGTAACTGGCCTCTGAAAGGCAGGTTGCCATTTCACTGTTGAGATTAAAGAATTTGTTATTTAAAGCCATATATTAGTATACAAGCTTCCAAGCTGCTACTAATTAAATTACATTTTGCTATTACATTTGTATCTTACACAGAAATGCCTTTTTTTTTCAAATGGAATGGTATCTTATTAACATAATGTAAAACTTCATTATCAAAATAAAAAATGAACAATATCTAGAAAACCAAGCTCAGCTTTCCCTGAGAAAAACTGAAACTTCTGCTGATCAGAAAGTATCAATCCACACTGCTTAACAAATTCATAAGGGAGGTTTCATTATTAACAGAGATGGTGATTTTTTTTTCATACATCTCTAAGAAAGAAGCAATTTTTTCTCAGAAAGTAGCTAAAACAATTTTATAAGACTTGATATACAAATCTTCAAAGAAGTTATAGGGAAGCCACTATATCTCCTGCACTTGTTTTACTTTTCAAAATATGCAGAAATGCATGAAATACATGTACAAACTAATAAAAAAACATTATATGCCACTTTCAAAATTAATCACAATTTGATTATACAATTGAAAAGGAGACATATCCAAAAAATTCCTTAGAACTAAGCAAAATAAGTCACCCTGTAAACACATCCCTATGATATTGTTCTAACAATAAAAGAAACTGAGGATACGAAGTCACACATCTTAACAGATTAAATTTAGACAGAATAGCAGTGTGTGGTACAAACTTGCTCAGTGTGAAACAAGAAAGGTTTTGCATCTCCAAGTGCCCAGGTTTTCATAATCATAGTTACAAGGAGAACTTGGCTTTTCACTGCAGAAGCAAGGGAAACTTGTTACAGCCCCTCTCTGAAGAGATCTGTCCATGTTCACTTAATGACTTTATTTGATGCACACAGCAGGAGGGATTTCTTTCATGAGCTCAATTTCCTATAAGCTTGTAATTTCAGTGCTTTCTGGGGCAGGGAGAAGAGAGGGAAAGAAGAGGAACAGACAAGAGAATCCTACACAAGGAAGCACACATCTCTGCTGAGCCTGTATATTTCTGTATACTCCCAGCAGTCTGAATTAACTGTGAAGGGGATGAGCTAACTAAACAAGAGTACTGACCAAGAGTGTAAGTAACAGTATTCCTAAACACCTACCTTCTCTACCACATTAGCTTGATACATTTCTTTTTTCCAGAGCTCCATGTTGTTACAAATATTAGCTATCCCTTAAGAAACACAGAATATGGTCTCACACTCCCTGTCTCAAAGCTCTGTCAGATCCTCCAGTTTTGTAGTTCACAATAAAAACAAGAGATTGGGAGGGACAAAACACTGGAGGCTCTGCCATCAGTCTACTGCAGATTGTAAAGCCTCAGGTGTTACCTTCACTATAGTCAAGCAATCAAGAAACTAGGTTTTCTCAAAGTGACTTTTTCCTGATTCCCCCCTGTCCTGGTATGGAAGACCTCACATGATCTCACATGCCTCTGGCCTAACAGCCAACAGTGTGCCAGAAAGCAAATGGAAACAAGCAACAGACAGCATTTGTCTTAGAAGTTATATCGGGAAGAAATGAATCAGACTGAAAATTTAGAATTTCCAACTTGAACTGTATGTTTTCTTGCTTTCCTGTCTTCAAGTAAACTCTCATTTATACTTACTACTATAGCATCAGCACACTACATATTTTTGACCCTATCATCTTTTGTATGCTCTGTAACAACTGTAGCAGGATAGGGTTCTCCTTCTCTCAACTTTTTTGTATTGCAAGGTAACATTAAATCTATGTTTCATTTTGAATGAAGAAAGAAGAATAACAATATTGCAGAGAATAACAATACTGCAGCAAGAGTAGACTAAAGAGAAGGAATTTCGGAGTGATGCTCAAATAAAGGATTACGTTGTCTGAACTAGAAAGAAAAATCTTAGATACTGCAATTGCCATTCAGCCTATGGACATTAAACCACAGTGGTAACAGCTGTATCTTTTGTAATCCTCCAGAAAACTTGGCTCATGCCAACTGAATGACTACCTATACTGCAAGGATGAAGGTGGGGGTGGGATGGCAAAAAGTGCTGTAAAACACTTCACGGTTTCTGAAGAGAAGGTGAGTTTGTTAAAACAGATCGCACTTTTACAGGAAGCAGATGACCTGCCCCATTTATAACTCCACCAGCTTCCCCAAGGAAGGATGCAGACCAGGAAGCAACTGAAGTGAACAGATATTCTCACTCCCCTCCATTCATCCCTTCCTCTCTCTGTTTATTGCACAGAGAAGAAACAGTGCTGGCTGGAGTTCACAGCTGAAAGCCGAAAAGGATGCTACATTCTCTCTTTACACTCTTTCTTCTCTGGGATGTAGATTGGTCAGCTGGTTGGTACCTTTCTTCCAGTTTCTAGCATAAATTCTTGAAATGTAATCTTATGACCAAAAGGATTACTGCCACCATAGATAAACTAGAAAGAGAAGACAGGATGAAGTTTAAAAAATAAAAAAAAATTTAAAAAAAAAGAGAGAGAGGAAAAGAAAATAATATAGCTCAAAGACAATATTAAAACCAGCTGCAATGAAATGAAGTTTTCTTTGGTGATGCATGCTTTAATTCACTGCTTCTGTTAGAATATTTCTTATTTATCAGCACAGAGGAACAAATTCAGATCTTTTTTCGATACATTTCTGGATCTCATTTTACTTATTTTCTGAGTATATAAAAGTAGAAAATGCAGTCCTAAATTTGTTTCTTCTTTTATTTTTTTCAGTTTGTCACTGAAATTCATAGCAAACTCAGGAAATAAAAATCACTTTGATAGTTGTATCTCCATCAGTCTACTAGGATTCACCAAGAAACCATCATGTCATGGAAACAAAAGGAAAAAAAAATAACCTACTTCTACAGAAATAAATTACAGCTCAGTGCACTAAAAGCCAATGTGTGTCTGTGCAAGTCATGTAATTTTCTGGACACCATAGTATTAATAATTTATTTTTTAAATCACTACCTTCATAAATATTCCAAATATCTATTTCACATGGGCTACACATAAAAAGAAATCCAAAAAAAGACCAAAGAAAATTTCTAACATCTCAAAAATAAACATTAAAATCTGAAACAAGGTCAGGTGTATTTCAGCTGCCTAAAACAAAGCAAAAAACTCCCAAATGAAGTTGTTTATTTCTTGTCATATTATTAATCTGAAGGCAGCAGAAGCCTGATCTGCATTTCACAGTTGGTTAGGACACATCATTCATGCTTGCTGCTTTTTCAACATGTAAGACTAGTTGATATAAAAGCTATAAAGAAGTAAGTTCCTAGCTGGAACAGGATTTAGATTGTAAAAGAATCTGGCTTAAAAACTAGGTAAG